TTTTTCTAAATGACTGACTTTTGGGTTAATAAGGGTGAGTTTACTGCTTAGTTCTGTAGGGGCTAGAAGGACATTAAGTGGATGAATCCTTTAATTTGAAATACACAGGTGCATTGCTGCTCTTGTTCTGTGATGAATCGAACGCTGGGTATATTAATACTGGTAATGGAACATAATGGCTGCTCATCAAAAGTAAAGATAATTATTTCAGGAACACAAAACTAACCTTGCCAGATAATTGCTCGTTGAAATCTGATGCTGTGCAACAAATGGAGGATTATTAGCAGCTGAGTCCCATGTTCATCTGTTATATCATTATCTCCTATATGCTAGAATGATAGGGCTATCATTGCATTGAAAACACGCACCTTTTCTTTGCATATCAATTTTTGATGTGGGGTTTTGAGAGGTCTGCCCTGTTTTTAAGAAGTTACCGTGTTATCCTCCCAGGTGCTGGGGGGAGCTCAACAAACTTGGCCACATGTGGATTGTACAGGTGTCTGTTACATGCTGAATGAAAAACAACCATCATTCCATTTTCAGTTTGCTGTTTTTGTTGTTGTTTTTTTTTTGGTTTTTTTTTTTTTTTTTTTTTTTTTCTTTAATGCAAACTAGTGTTAGTGTTTTAAATGCTTGCTAATCCAGCAGACATCGTGAGACTGGAGGTTCTCATACAGTGGAAAAGAAGTGCAGCATATAACATGAACGGTGAAGGGAATGCAGAATGTAGCAGTCAGATATAGAGGCATTTTTCTGATGACATGACTAATTAAACCCAGAGCAACTTTGAAGAGAGATGCTACATTTCAGTCATTTGAACTTTTTAAATCAAGGCGGGGCTTTTGATCAGGTGCAAGGTGTAACTTTAACAAAATAGCAGCCATTTATGCTCTGAAGTTTCTCTGTGAGCTGTTTAAAACACCTGCTTGTTTAGCCAAACCCTCTGCCTCAAATTCAGGCCTTGAATTTGAGCCAGTTGTGCTGCTTTCACTCTCCCTGTGGCTTTAGCTGTGAGGTTGGAGCATCACCATACAGCATCAGCATCTCTTTGACTGGGATGCTGTGGGCTGCCTCCTGCCCTGAGCAGTGGCCACACTGAGACTCTGCAGGTGATCCATGTGGACTCGGAATGCTTTTGCAGTTGGCTAAGTTGTTCTTTCCCAGAGCAATGTTTGTGCCTTAAGATAATTCACTTCAACTCATGCTATTCAAAGTCTTGCCCTGAAAGCTGCAGATGTCCTGGGAGACAGATTTTCGTGCTGAACTTCTCCAGTTTAGTAATAAAAAAGTTTGATGCCACTTCACTTTGTGACTGAAAAGCTGAATTATGTTTTTCCGCCTCATAGTTGATGGTAAGAACATAGGTAACATTGCTATACTCAGTTTTCATAGTTTCTACCAAGAGTAGTCCACCTATGCTACTCAAGTATTCAGTGGCAAGTGTGAAAAATAAAAAACATGCAAACTTTCTACAAGTTTTGTTCATAAAATCAATTTGTTTCAAAAAAACGCATCGTTCACCTAATAATTCACATTTGAAAAAAAAAAAAAAGAAAAAAAAGCCAGGTGAAAAATTGCCTTCTTTCAAAAGCTGTTTACATCAAGGCTTCAGAGTATGTATAATCTCATTTCTCCACTCTCATTTTTATCTGCTTTCTCTCCTTGAGCTGGAAGAATGCTGTCCTAACTGTATCTATTTCCTGTAGGAGCTATTAGTCAGTAGCATTACATCCGCTTCAACGTGATCACTTTTCCAATCTGTGTGTTACTGATACGCTATTATCATGTTATATTGCTCATCCCTCGGAGTTTGCAGTGTTTTCTGCACTGACTGCAGAATCGAGGCGAGGTGAAGCATCCTCTTTAAAATAATAATAACAAAAAACTTCAGAGATGCCAAAATATTCCAACAGTTCCCTCTCTCTCTGTCTCTTCGTCTCTCTATTCACGGTAATGTACTCAGGTATGCTGCAGAGCAAAAGGTTCTGATGGTGGATTTCAAGGTTATGGCGTGAAATGTTTCTCTGCTTTTAACTCCTAACCAAAAGCACTTTAACCATCAGTTCTGACTCTAACCATCTCAGCTCCCTCTTATTTAAGTGGCATATTCAATAAAAGCTCCATCTGGTTTCCATAGGAATCTTGCACAAATTCTTGGAAATCGATTTTTGTCAGGACATAAGGCACTTTGACCAGGATTAGAATTTCTTCTTCCTACAGTGTACCTGCCAGATGGCAAGTTGATTGAATCTGGTTTTAACTTACTAGGGCTTAAAGGAATGAACATGATTCAGAGAAGCGGGTGCTACGTTTCTACTTCAAAGGTCTCCTTCAAAATCACACTCCAAAGGTTGACGTGCAGAGTGTGGTTTCTACTTGGGCAGTCTGTTGCATACCTCTCATCTCTTCCAGTGCTTGAAATGGGATTAAAGAGTGGCGCAAAGCACTTTACAAAATCCCAGTAATTTCAACATCAGCAGCGTGGGATGAATCTTGTTACAATAACATGGCTAAGTCAAATTTATCTTTCCATTTTTTTAAAGCCATCAAACTTTCTGCATTGCTGTAAGGAGTTTTGATTTGAAATACTTGTTTTCTGAGTGAGACATGAAAATATTTAATATCCACTTAAGCCACAGGATGTGTCCCCTTCATCCTTTCTCACATTAGAGCTGTTCACCCCAGTCTTAGAAATAAATAAATGTTCCTCCATCCTGTTGTATAAACCTCACTTGCACGCATCAGTGAGTTCAATCTATTTATTTATTTATTCATTTATTTTCATTGAGCACTGAATATCCAGCACTGAATTTCTTGTGAGGAAGTTTTTACAATTCTAGAATCGCAATCTTATAGAAAACACCTGAAGGAAATCTATTCCTTTGCATTGGGACTGGGTCTTCTCTTTGGATATCACCTTATACCTTTCATTAATGGACCTGTTTGTTAGGAATCCTCGTGGTGTGGATTCCCCATCCTTTCCTGCACTTCCAAAAAAAGGCAGGCAGCAGGGCTGGAAAAAGATTTGAGATGCATTAAGAATGCTCAGGAATCTAATGCTAAAAAGATGGTAATGGGGCCAGAGTCAGAAGTAATTGTCAGAAGGGGCTTCAGGAGCCACTGGTTAAATTGCTTTTCCAAAACTCCAAGAAAGGATTTCGTTGGCTTGCTTCTGAATTAATTACTCTGGAGCAAATTCACCTATTGCATCGCTTTACTACTTTCTTTGTGTATTGCAAAGCATTTGTAGAACAATTAACGGGGTCCTGTAAATCACATGGATGTAATTGCATCCAGGGATACTAATGATGTCATCAAGTACTGCAAGGTAGAGTGGTTTCTGTGGTGTTTCCAAAGGAAATGAGAGGTCTCTTATTTACAGTTTGTTTGTCATCCTCTCCATTCAGTAAAATAGTCTAAGAGTCTAATAGTAATATAAAATAAATGACACATCCTGGTGGTATTGTGAAGATGTTTTGGCTTTATGTTCAAACTGTTCCTGCTGTGCTACGATCATTTTCATTTCTATCTGGCTCTCTTTTAGCTCAAATAGTCCCGTGTTTGTACCATATGGAAATTATTTTCATTTGTTCAGCAGATGTATGAGCCTTTATATGTCTTACTCCTTATCAAATCAGATTATACGATAAAAAAAACTCTACAAAATGTTCTGCAAGTGTTCTGTTGTATGGGAACAACCACAGGCTGTCAGTGCAGATGGAAGACGTGTGACAGTTCCAGTACTTCAGTGCACGCCAGCATCACTGTTTACATACACTGCAGGTGGGATGTCTTTGCAATTCATTCTAACATCAGTTTGCCTGAGCACCCAAACAAGATGTTAGTCTCTTTCATGCAACTGGAGCAGATACAGGTGTTGGCCTGACTCTCATGATTCTAAAAATCCCACCCAAACCTTGCTTATCTTCAAATGAAAAACACTTTTTAAAATTCGAAGGCGTTGTTCTGTTTAATGACCATATTGCAATCCAGAGCTCTGTCAGGCTACTCAATATTTCTGACAACTCAGTCAATCTGTTTATACCGTGGTTTTTATGCTTATTTTTTTAATGGCTGTTATCTCCATGTATATCAACCTTTCTACTGTGATCGACGTTGCAAGAAGTAGAGTTGGAAGGGAGGCGTAGGAAAAGGGCAGAAAGTTCACTGCAAAGTAATGGGTGAAATGAGATTGTCTGAAAAAACTGGACGTCAGGGTTCACCTGAGACCTACTAAATGCAAACACCTATAATGTGATAGAGGGAAAAAATTGGAGAAGAACCAGTCGGTCCTATTCATTGTTTTAAAAATAGTTGTGTATTTCCTTCACCTCTTCAGATAAGTCAGTTCTGAGCTTTTCGCTCTGAAAAAAGGACATTTCTACAGCATTTCTATTACTTTCATGTAAGTTTTCTTTAAACAACTCCCATTTTCTGTTTGGAAAGTATTATGTTGTCTTGCTCAGAAAGTTTTACGTAAGGAAGGTTTTATGATCCAAGGATAAGTCTGAGAAAACTGTGAGAAATTTCTGTGTTTTCTCTCAGCAGGAAACATGCTTTCGTTTCTAAACTGTGCGATTTCATCAAAAACTTTTCCCCTATCTAAATATTAACTGTGAAATAAAGAAAGAAGACCTGAGAGCTTCAGGTATGGACTTAGGTAAAACCTGGCAAGCAGAGGTTTGTTAAGTGTTCAGCTTGAACTGGGCCATGCTTATAGCAGAGCAGTTTTACTTTCAAAAAGTAGATGACTGTGCAACTTCAGCATAAACTATGGGCCAGGTCTTTGGTGGCTGTGTCCCTGGCTTGAGAGCAGCAAAACTATACTGATTTATGCCAGATGAGGACCTGCATTTTTCTCATCGCTTTTAATGCTTCCTTAATCCTTATAAAATGAGGCCTTCAGTTCTTTGGAAGTGCGTCTCTGAAGAAAATGTCAATGGAATAATTTTTTAACTGGGATGAACTCTCCTGCTTCTTTTGTGTGCCTTCTTTTGCAGCTTCCTTTGGTCTGTACTTCCCCAGAAAGGAGTACTCAGAGAACGTCTACATTGACCAACCAGCAGGAACGCCGCTCCTGCGCATCCACGCCTTGAGGGATTCACATGGGGAGTCAGCCCACTTTCATCTGTGCCAGAATCTCATCATTTCTCGAGCGAGATCCCATGAAAATCACTGGTTTCAAATCAGAGAAAAAATGGGACTTCTCTACCTCAGCAAGAGCCTAGATAGAGAGGACTTCAACATGCTGTGTAAGTACAAGGAGCCTAGCTCTTCCAGTGCAAATTTCGGTTGTTAAAGTATTTTCAGCTCATGAGATTTATCCATCAGCAGTAAGCACTGAATTCGGGGGAAGAAAAAAAAAAACACCCAACACCTACTATTTTAAAATGAAGAACCAGACCCAACAAAACCTGCAGCAATTACAAGGAGAAGCATGCTAAAGCAAATGCTTATCTGAGATAGATTCGGTTACTCTCACTATGATACTGAGATTTGCAGTTGATTCATCTAGTGATGCAAACTGAGCCGATTCCGCTGTGTCAATGTTGGGTGCTTAGTGACTACACAGATGCAGTTAGATTACTTCAAACTCTCACATAAACAGGCCTCAAACTCTGGCAACATGGATTCATATGGGTTTGCAGATAACACCGGTGGTTCTTGGAAGAAGTGGTTGTGTACCTCTCTCAAAGAGATTTGGCTTTGTTAAGGAAGCTTACTTTTCAGCTGCTGAAAGGAGTTCTCTGTCAATAAATTGGTCCTGGTGATTTTGATCTAAGAGGAAATTATCGTTTGATGATGGAGAAGGAAATGGATGAGATGGTAATGGCATACTGCTGTGATCAGTTGCAGAAATTCTGCTGTTGGAGAGCCTGTAGTAAGTGATGAGTAAGTGATGAAGGGCCATATATCAGCACTGCTCTTTGACTGAGGTGCCTAGATGTTTAAATGCACAACTTCAGGCACTTACTGCTTCATTTGTTTAGTGCTTAGTATCTCATCCTTATTCTGTGCATTTTTGATGCTCATAAATATCAGATAACCATTTGCAACTGGGCAAGGGAAGAACAGCTATCCACAACTTGAAAGTTGTGGGGCTTCTTGTTTTTTTCATATCATAGTGACCTATAGAGCCTTTCCAAGTGAATTAGATCTGTCACAGAGATGCTATCATTCTGTCTGTAGTCAAATGCTGCTAATGAAAATAATTGAGTCTTGAGGGTGTATTAGCAGATGCCACAGGTTGATTTAAACGTCTGTGTTCTCTTTTGGCCAGCTCTTTATATTTCAGAATGATGAAGCAGATTGTGCTCCAAACAATTCAGCCCATGCCTTCGACTGCTATAAAGCGTCACAACGCTGTGATTTTAATGAGAAAAGTTTTGGGTCTATTTGTTACTGTTTTGCTCTCTTTCTCCCCACTGCAACTCTAACTATGCAAAAAACAGTCAAAAAGCTGATTGCTAGCAGTGACTTGTTATATGCTAGTGTCTTACATGCAAAACATTGGTGTCATTTAGTGAGGTTCTACAACATTTAGTGAGGTTCTTAAAACTTGTGGTACGACACCTATCAGTTTTTAGCTTTCTGGGGTTGCTAGGTTTAAAATTTAAGGTCTTCCAACCAGCAAACGATATATTCAAGAATTGTTGTTATATAACAGAACTGTACAGTTGTTTGTGAAATAGTAGAGCACAGAAAGTCGATGAGAAATGGATTGTCTTCCTTAAAACATTTTGTCTGGTGTGTTCTTTCTGAAGCTGTAGGAAACTGGATGCCGTTATCAAAGGTGATGCTGTATGTCTTCCTCTCATCCCACCCTTTCCAAGAGAAGGAATGTGACTCTGCTACTCGTACCACAGTTGTCCTCTCTTTGATCAATGCTACTGCACCGGCTTGCAGTTCACTGACAGCACGGCAGCTTTGCTTCACAGAAATGGATCTCTCCTTTCACATCAAGGAGAATAAACCCCCTGGTACATTTCATCAGCTCCAGCTACCCTCAGTTCATCATCTGTGTCAGAATCTCAGCATTACCTACAGACTTTTGGCAGGTAAAACTGGAACTGAATCATTCGGGACCCGGGAATAGATGCAAACAGCTGCACTGTTAAGATCTTTCTTGTAGTAGATCCTCTAGATTGATTCTCTAAAGGAAATTTCCTTTCAAATGTGATCTGAGCCTGAATATTTTGCCTTTGAACTATATGGAAAGGATGGGAAGGAGGACTGTCTCCTTCCTAAGGGAAAGATGGGTTTTAGAAGTTTGTACCTGGGAAGAGAAGATTGGGGGTATTCCAAGGTTTAAATTGGGCTTCATCTAGGCAGCAGGATCTTCCACATTTTCTGCCTACCCTTATACAGCTCCACAACTTGTTTTCTATTTCACTTACTAGCCTGCCTTTTGTTACTCGGTCCTGATGTGTAAATGGATTTATTGCAAAAGAAGAAAACTATCAGAATTCTGTAATGGGAAGAGATTGTCCCTATTTACATTGTGCCCATTTTTTCCAGCCGAAGGCCTGCCTTTTCGGTACAATGAGAACACCACTGGTGTGAGCGTAACACAGCGCCTAGATCGAGAGGAGAGAGAGAGATACGAGCTGATCGCCAAATGCACCGTGAGAGAAGGCTTCAGGGAAATGGAGGTTGAGGTGCCCTTCCTCATCAACGTGTTAGATGAAGATGACTCTCCTCCCTTCCTTCCCAACGGCACCGACACCGCAGATGCTGTCGTGGAGTTCAATAGAAAAGAGGTAACGTTCTCCTTGAAATCAGGAGCACAGTGATTGTAGGGAGGGTGGCTAACATCAAGGATCTTGCTTTAATGCCCTCCTCCTATTTATTCTTAACTGTGCCAAGGTGATCATTCATGAGGTCTGAACTCCTGAATGTCCTTCTATGTGCCTCCTGCCACATTGCTTCAGTAGAGAAGTGTACAAGTGGGCTCTTTGGCTCTTCCTACCTAATTTGGCAGTGGTATACATAAGGAACTTCTTTATCGGCCTAAGCGATGCGTATTTCATGAGAGGATTTCTAATCCATAACAGCAGCCTCGTTTTGCAGTCAAATTTCCATTCATAGTATGTTTTGCTTAAGTTTGAAAGAGAAAAGAATGATTTTAGGAGTTTGCTGCCACCTCCAGACTAGAACAAGCACTTACAAGATGCCCACGAATGTATGACGTTTGTCTGGTCATAAAGCAACTCCTGTTTGCTTTTGAGAACTTCAGGATTTGTGAGTTTTACTTTTCTCTGGATGAGAAAAAGGGAAATTATCGTTAAACTATTTTATAAAGTAGTATAACATCTCTGAAATTATGTGCCTGAAAAGTGTTCAGAATATACTGTTTCACTGTCAATTTGCAGTGGAAAAAAACCATTATATTCAAAAACTTTCAATGTTTTCTATTAACTAAATAAGCCTCAAACTACAGAATTGCTAAGAAAAGTATTAAAAGCTATGTGGATTCGATGTCCAGGTAGAAAATGCAATCTAGTTGATTAAACAGAAGACAGACAACTCAAGCCATTTCTGTCATTTCAGGTAGTAAGTTTGATGAGTGTGACTTTATTTCCTTGTCTTTTAATTGCATGTATTATCTGCCTACTCTGTAAGTAGTACTGTAGAATGACATTGATTAAATATTAAATCTAAAATATGATACACTGTTCTTGAGATTTATTTATAAATATAGATGTATGTGTGCACTCACTTCCTACCTCAAATGTTTGGCATTGTATTTTAGATGCAGACTGAAATAATTATATGGCAATGTATTTTTCACCACTACCTTGGTGTCTGCTGTCTTTCTTTTGAGCCATCTAACACTTTCTCACCTCTACATAAGCAGTTAAGGATTCTCTGAGACTGATGTCTGTAGCACGTGTATTCCTCAGTTTTATTTGAACATGCTTGTAAGACCGGGAGCTCTGAAGTACTGGAATTGATGCCAAGCACAAACCAGAGCCCTTTTGCATTACCTGATACTCTCTCTCTGGTTGTAATGATCAAACCAAAATCGAGTTGAACAGAAGATTGCCAAGGTGTCATTTACAGTTATTTCTTGATGGTTGGTTGGTTGTTTTTTTCTTAACAGGAAGCTTGCCATTCTCTGCATCATTAAATATTTGTTTGGAAAGGTGCTTAATCGGTTAATAAAAAATATTTAAAAAACAACTAAAAAAAATGAGTAAGTGGATTGAGTACTCCTAGTTGCACAAGCTGGAAACTGTGCATTTTGAAGCTTGCTTGTGGCTCCTCACTAATTCACCCAAGTGCCAATCTTTGAACTGGATTAAGTGGAGATTGCTGTATCCAAAAAACTAACACTGAGACCAGATAAGGTGTCCCTCCTTGAGCTTTGGAAGTAGCTGCTGTAATAAAATGTTCCTACGTATTTCCTGGAAGAAGAACAACATAAAAGTTAGTAATAGTGGTATCCTGAACCTTAAAATGGATTTGAATGTAAGAGTGAACCTGAGTAAGGTTTTATATGATCAATTTTAATCTCATAAATGTATGTCAAAGGAAAAAAAATTCAAGATCATTCAGCAATGTCATTTCTGATTTCCTTCCAGGGAACTGTCCTTGCAACGCTAACTGTGTATGATGCGGACACCACGCCTATTTATCCCCTTGAAAGCAGCAGAAAGAAATACACAGGAACAATAATTACTGACGATCCATGGATAAATGAAACATTTCGAGTGGAGCACATTTTTGAAGAGATCCACTTCAGCCCAAATGGCAGCCAAGTGAGGGGAACTCAACATGAATACAGTAAGGTCTCTTTCTTCGAATAAAAAAGTTACTCAACAGCTGCTATTTAATTCTTCCAAGCATTTTGTAAATATTAAGCCAAAGAAAGCTGAAGGATTTTAAGTAAAGCAAAACACTGAGCTTTAAACCTGTTCTGAAAAAATATGATGCATCTCTGTGATAGAGAAAATATGGCATGAAGTTCATGTACAGAGAAGCAAGAGGTTGTGATCGTAGGCTTTTCAGCAGGGTCTGAAGGAAAGATCACCTCATCATACCTCTTCAAACCTCTTGAGTAGTACGGAGCATAAATCCGTAGGAGCATATTTCTACCTGCTTTTGTTTCCTGTTAGCAATAGCTTTGATGTTTTTAATTTGGGAAGTGCAGTATCAAAAAGCACATTCTGAAATAATGTGGGTCTGTAACAGACTGATCTTTTCTCTTGCAGAACTGGTACTGAATAAAAGTATTTCAGTCACAGAGCATCGTTCCTTCCAGTTGGATGTTTTGGTGAACGACACAGAATTTAATGGCCCAGAAAGATCAGTGATGCTTCATTTCAATGTCTCCATCCTCCCTGTCAGCATTCAGTTTCCAAACACAACTTATCGCTTCACAGTAAACCGAAACGCTCAACGTTTTGCACAAGTAAGACCTGAGTTAATTATGCCTTCCTTCTGTTAGAAACCGAGCCAGTGTATAGAGCACGGGAGTGAAATGTGGGTAATCTAAATTCTGTTTGTTGATACTGACTCTAATTTGTATGCACATGAAGTTTAGCTATCTGTGTTTCAAGGTACACTCTGAAATTGCATACGAGATATGAAATACGAATATTTCAAAACTGCTTCTCGTTTTTTCCTCGGTGATTTGGCTATCCTGGCATAATCGTTGCTATTTCACTCCTAATTGTTTATTTTCAGCAATTACACACTCATTTCTATCTCCCTCTGTGGAACACTTGAGCTCATTTCTACTTTTTTTTTTTTTTTTTCCTTACACAAAGCTTTCAGAAATTCTTCCAGAGTTGGCACATAAACGTGTTCTCCCAATGGCATGTGGTTAAAGCATTGACTGTAGCTATTTTAAGTAGAATCAATGAAAAATGTGACAGCTGCTGGATATTGACATGGTGGATATCGGCTTGACTGGACCATAGCTCTTGCATGGCATAATAGCAGAATAGAAACTATCTGTGGAAACATTAATAAGCAGAAATAGAAGCGTGTATTATATTCGGAGGAACTTGCAACCATTACTGGCTTATGCAGAAATAACTGGAAAAATATCAACAGCAAAAAAATGTTTGCCTTACCTATTGGATTCCCAGCTCTACATTTTCCAGTATGTTAATATCTTTTCTCTCCATAATGGCTAGTTCGTAATTAATGTGTTTCCTAATTTAACCCTCAATTTAGTTTAATCACCGCCACTGCTATTAATATTGCCTTCCAGAAACACCTTCTAACAGGTTGACATTAATCATGAGAAAATTGCAATGTAATTGCTGTGGAACATGTAATTAATAAGGAAGCAGTTCGATACAGGTAGTGTTATGAAAGTGATTATTAAAAACATCAATGAGGGCCATTTTGGGGTTGCTGCTGAAAAGCACCTCTCATAACTAAATAAAGCTGTAATGCTACTAGTGTATTTGCACTGAGAGAGACTGAAGCTAAAATATGATCATCCCAAGTGCAGAGAAAAACAGTTCATTAGGTGTCTTCTAAGGAAGAATTCAGTTTTATTCATCATTAACACTCTGGTTGTAAAAAGAAAGGAAAGTTGAGTATAATTCATGTTTATATACTTAATCTGATGAAAGGCACTATGATCTGATAGCTCTTGAGAGTATAGAACAGGCCTTACACAACCAATAAAAATGCTGCTGCTTAGTCATGGGGCATTTTAACCCTAGACTGCACAGCAGAGCCTAAACATAGAAAAGATTCCAAGTGTGTTCACATAGCAGGCTTCTTAGGAAAAGGATTGCTGTAGAGTATTTTGTGATTCCTTCCTTACAGCAGCTTTAAACTTTGTGGTCTGTTAGAAGCTCGAGAGCATATTCTGTGCTTTTTGAACTATCACAATACTTGTACCGTTAAATTTGGGGTATTTTTGGTAGCACTAGATTGTGAATGATTTATTCTCAGTAGTGTAGAAAAGTATTGCCTAGAGACGGCATGAAATCAGTGGTTTTTAACCTAGAAGGAATAACTATGAAGATGCTTAAGGTAGTCATAGTATAGGCCTTAGCATCTAAAAATGCTAGGATGTATTTGAATGTATGTTTCAATACAACTGTAACTGTAAAAAGTGGGGAAACCTATTAGGTTTACATTAATCTATAAAAATTGATTTTTTGTGTTCGTGTACAATCAGGCGTTACGTACACGTATAGGTTTACAATATTATTATGAATGACTGAATTCATTCTCTACTGTCCAAACTAAATTTGGTTAAACCATCTGTATCTGTGCACGCTCTGATGTGTGTGTTTAAAATCTGACAGTATATAGTTTGTTAGTTCCAGAATGGCATAACTGAAACAAATTAGCATTTGAAAGCTATAATTTTTCGTGTGTTTTGTTGGTATAGTCATACATTTGGAAAGGAATGTTAGGGTTTCTGGGAGCAGTAGCACATTCCAGTAATGGTGCAGTTTCACTGGGTGGCAGTAGTAGCAGGGAAAAATCGTTTCTCACATGAACTGCAAGTCTGTGGGAAGAGATCTCTTTTTGTGTTGCCTAAATGTAAATTCATAAAGAGGTTTTGTTCTGATTCTAGACCATCAAAATTCACTCATCCTGGCTCAGGCGATGATTTTTTTGATAGGTTAAACTATCTTCCACATATTTCTGAGACCGTGTTTGAACTTCCAGTGTGATCAGGTTTGGAGCAACAAGTCAACATAAGCAGTTTATTCCCCAGCACTTCAGATTATTAAAGTTGTCTGCATAATTAGCCATGATGTGCCAGAGCAGTGAGGAAAAGTACCGAGCCAAATCAATATGAAGGCTGAACTGTCTCTTGCCCTAAGGAAAACACAAGAGCGTGAAGAAATGATTAACTGCTGGGCTGATGCCATTTGTCTATCTGAGCAGCTAAATGAATTGAATAACAGAGGCATGGCCTGATGGTACAGGCTTGCCCACTGGCATTTAACTTATCAAAGAACTTAAAGCCCTATTGACATTTACTGAGATAAAAGATGAATAATATAGGGTGAGATTTTGAAAGAGCTTATATGCCTGAATGTCCTTGGAATTCAGTGAAGAGGAACGTTATCATTATCCAGACTTTATTAAACTCTGGAGCTCAAAAGATGGATTTTTTTCTGTTCCTATTTCTGCTAATGATATTTCTGCATTAACTATTGGGTGTCTTACAAAATGCGTCTTTGTAGATACCTCCACTGTATTTTAATGGTAACCCTGATTATCAGGCTATTTTCTACCCTCCTCACAAAAAAGATGAGTTGTCTGTGTCTACTTTCTTTCCATGGGGCGAAGCCCTGCTGCGTTTGAGATCCAGAACCTGCAGGGCAGAGCAAGGTTATAAGTTTGAGCTTTCCCTCATGGAACAAGGCAAGAAGGGAAAACCCATATTTGCCATAGAAAATTGTTGACTAGGGCGTTTTTTGCTTCTCCTGAAGTGATAGAAACAAAGCAATACTGGTCTGTGCTCTACAGTAAAGACATTCTGCTCTTCAATACCCTCATCTTTATGTGGTCTCTGGTCAAAAGAGAGTGCCTGTACAAAGAAATGATGACAGGTAGCAAGAAAAGACAGTTTTAATGTGTTCAATATGAGCGCTAATACCGTGGTACATCACTATCTTCTCCTACTGCACCATGAAAGCATCACAGCACCAGTTGCAATACACATTGCCAGTAGCAATGCAACTTCAAAACTGAGATGATGTGGTCCTGGATGGGACCTTTCTAGACGTTGTGTCTAGACAGATTTTATGAACAGTTTCAGTCTTGTCTTTTTCTTCCTGCCAGTCCCAGCATGATGTAGGGAGGAGACAGCGCGGAAGCGAACTACCAGAAACAGCCCAGCTTCTGATTCCTTTAATAGTCTTTGTACGCTACCATCACTGCCACTAAAGAGAAAAAACAAAACCCAACACATGCTGCCAAGTGACCAGTCAGTAGTATGAATGGGAACATGAGATTAAGTAGGATTGTCCTATATGCTTCTAGGATTTCAAGAGCATCCTCTCTGACTTTAAATAGTCCAGTTTCACAGGAAAATGTATTAGTAAAAAAAGAAATAGTTTTTTTTACATTCTTTAATAAAAATACTGAAGCCAAGATGTAGACATAAGCTTTTTTACCAGCTGTAGTGGTACTTGAAAACATATCTTAACCAAAGCTTTTGAAAAGAATTCATCACAGAGTTCTCTTAAATAATACCCCACCCTTCGCATTGTGGTTTTTCCTGCAAGGAAAGCCGATTTATCCGGATCTGTTCCGAATCCCACTCTAGTAAATGGAAAAACCAAAGTGAGCTTTGGATCAGTTCCTATAGGAGCTGGACTGGAGACAGGGTTTTACATTCCAGTGCTTCTTAGATGAATTGTTTGGGACTGAAGACTGCTTTAGCATACATATTCTGGCAGGCAGAAAATCAAATATGGCAAATCCGCATATTTTCATTTTTAGATGAATATGTTTAAAAAAATTCAAAGGGGAAAGAATGAGGTTCTTATTCCTTTTAAGGCTTTCATAAAACTCTGCTAGCCAGAAACTTTTGACTGTAGTATTACAAAACCTACGCATTAGCAATTTCTATTTCTGTCTTATTTGAGAAAACTCTCAGCTTTGTTCACACTGAAGTGTTTGCTTTCTCAGGGAAATATGAGCTTTTCTCACAGATCAGCCTGGGGCAGAGCAGGGACTGAACCCAGACTTTCCCAAATCACAGGGTTATGCTATCTCTGAACATTGCCTACCACCAGCAGCAGGCACCGAATATCATCACATGTCTTGGCCAAGGCTTTTGTTGGTACCACTGTTACTCAAAAGACAATGGGTAGTCCTTTACCCCACTTTCCTACTGAGAATGAATCACTTTTGAAGGACTTGTATAAACCGCATTTGAAGGATTAGCTCAGCAGATGAGGTGTTCAGTGCTGTTTCACACAGTATTCTCTTGGAGACTCTTGCTGCTCATGGCTTGGATAGGTGTACTTCTTGGCCTGAATCAGGAATAGCATGGCCAGTAGGACTAGGGAAGTGATTGTACTTTACAGCATTGATGAGACTGCTCCTCAAGTGCTGTGTTCAGTTTTGGGCCCCTCACGACAAGCTGTTGCTCAAGCAAGTGCAGGGATGAGCAGTGAAGCTGGTGAAGAATTCTAGGAGACAAGAATTACAGGGAATGACTGAGGGAACTGGGGCTGTTTAGTCTGGAGGAGGCTGAGGAGAGATACGACGTCTCTTCAGAACTGCCTGTAATATTGCTGAGAGGAAGTTGTCAGTCTCTTTTCTCGGGTGATAAACTACTGGATGCAAGGAAACAGTCTAAGGTCACGCCAGAGGAGGTTTAGATTGGCCATCAAAAAGAAGAGAGGGTGGTTAAACATTGGAACAGGCTGGTGGAGCCCCCATCCCTGGAGGTATTTAAGAGATGTGTGGAAGCAGCACTACGGAAGATGGATTCATTATGTCACGTTTATTGTTGGACTTGATGAACTTGATGTCTTTTCCCCACCCTAGACGATTGTGTGATTCAGGTTCTGCATTGATGTTAAAATATCAAAACGTATAAAAACAAATTAAATGCTGAACTGTGCGCCGTGAAGTATTCTTCGCTTTCTTTTAGGGATTTTTGTAAAGCACAGACTATTTCTGATGTTTGGTTTTGTTTCTGTTGTCTATGACTACTTTGTTGGTGTTTGAGCCTAGATAGGAAAGATCTGCATCGAGAACTGTATGAAATTCCGTGGTGTGAACATCACCTACAAGTTGCTGTCCCCCAATGCCAGCTGCTATGCTGTTGGCATACTTCAAGGCCGAGAAGACAAATATGGAAGCATTTATGTGAACGATTCCTCTGTGCTACTTAGACCCGAATGCAAAGAAATACAATACACTGTTCAAGCTACAGACAAGCAGAGCAGGAAACATACCAAAACCCTTCTCACTGTTGTATTAGAAGGAACTGGTAAGTACCTGAGCCTGAGCTACAAGATAAAGATGGCAAAATTTGTTTTTATTCGGTGTTTTGATTCAGACCCAGCTGCAACAGATATTTGTCTCAAGAACTAATGCATGCAAAGTGGTGCATCATGTGTGATTCCTAATGTTCATCATCGTATGAAGTCACAATTCTCTGGCCTAACTGGATTTATTTGTCTCTCTCCCTACTTTCCCCTACCATTTTGATGTATATATTTTTAAATTTTGCTTAACATTCATGTAGCAATTTCATTAATTTTAATGAAATGGTTGTTAGGGTAGAGTGTGTTAAAAACATTCTGTAACAGCCATAGCAGAAGATGGTTACACTGAAAACATGTCATTTCCCTCCAAACAATAATTAACTGTATGTAGAAACTTAAAAAAACTACCTGATAATTTCTGCATTTTCCTTGTTTCATATCGTAACTGCTGTAGCAAGAGTGAATGAGTTTAGGGAGAAGGAAAAAAAAGGCCTGCAAAGGACTTTTTGTGAGAACCTTGTGCTGTCAGAAATCACACATTTGAAAGCGTTGCTCTTGGGCTCCTGCTTATTATTCCCCAGTATAAAACATTTTCACTTAGACGAAAGTTTTTTATGAAGCTTTAAGCACTTACAGTCCCCATTTTCCTGTAACCAAGGTGCATATTTTTACAGTCCTGGGCATTGACAGTGTGCCATCAAGCAATGACTGTGCTATCATGATCTTATTGTTGAATTTCGTAGAAGAGTAACACCTGGATTTTTAAGTGTTACATAAACTGATTGATACTTTGGTCAGCATTCACTTTCTCCTTTCTTTCCTCATCGTTCCTTTCTTCCTATCTGCCCCAAAGAAAGGAATTTCCCGTAAGATTTGATCTAACTTGCTCGTGTATTCATTTTCCTTGTACTGATTTGACAGCAAGCACTCTTCCCAACAGTTTTTAAAAAAGAAGAGGACTGCCCCGACTCTTGTGCTATGAGCAAGCACCTTGCAGAATGTGAAGAGTGTGGTGGCCTGGGAGTGCTAACAGGAAGATGCCAGTGGAGACAGGGGAGTGGAAAAGGTATGTATCTGTTGTATGAAGTCCAGTTCTTCTTAAGATATAACTGTGCTTTTGACTTCCATGGATATAAACTGATTTATTCTAGATGGACAACATGGCATAGTGAGCTTCCCAGAAGCTGTGGTAAAAATAAGCAAACAAAAATCCCCTGTAAAACATAATATCCAAATGGAACATTCATTCCATGTAGGATTCCATGTTCGTTTGGCATGGTCCTTGCCCTTCTTTCTGGTGGATGGAACATGATAGATACAACACTAGTGCTAGACTACAGACTGGATTTGTGTCAGTTTAACTGGAATGGACAACTGAAAGCTCTGCAACCATCAGTTGGATTTGAAAGATGTATTTGTGGCGTTTATGCAGTTGTCTGTTTTTCTGTTAATAGGAATCACCACAAACTATTCCACGTGCACCCCAAGTATCAAGACTTGTCCAGATGGCACCTGTGATATCGTGGAGAGCAAAGATCCAGCTATTTGCCCCCAGGACTGCACAAGTATGGAAATGGTTTAGGATTGGCTTTTCTGTGTCACAATTCACTGTTCATTAAGTTCTACTTTCGTGACATCAGATACTTTTACATGTTGCACATATTTATTTCTGCATTATTATATCTGTATATGAATCATACAAGAGTGTCAAGTTTATGGGGACTCATCTTGTTATTTTGAAGCCAGTCAGCTAACACCTTTTGAACTTACGTGCAGAGGTTCACGTGAGCAGCATTTAGGAAGGGAGAATTGAAATGTGTTTTTTCTTCAATGCATCTGCCTGCATTTCACTTGCTCGCATAGCTGCCCATAGCTTCACGTTCTCAAGTCACCCTGAAGATACGAAGGCTAGCAAAACAATAGACTGTATTGCAATTTAAATCTATTATGAGATGATTGCTTTTAATTGGATCTTTTTATACAACATCTGGTATCTAACTGATGGATAAAGACACAGCTATCTTAATGGTTCTTGGCTATGGCACTGTACGCTCCAAATTTATATTTTAAAAAGAAGCCTTTGAGGATCTGCTGTTTTATCATAGTCTAGAACCTAAGTTACTCTATGAAAATAAATTAATAATCAGCTATCTCTGTCTTTCCCACATGAAAAAAGAAATGTGATTGTGTATTTTAAATTACTTTTATCACATTATTGCATTAGAGTGCAGAAAACCCAATCTTTAAAGTGGCAGAAATGGTTGAAGTAAATGCAAGTAAGTTCTCTAATCATCTGAAAACAATTTTTTTTTTTTTTTTTTGTAATAACAGGAATCAGTTGTCATTCTGAAAGTGGAAATATCTGTGCCAGGGTCTGTAGTGCAAAGACATACAGTATGCAACATTTATAGCATCAGACGCTTTGCTTGACAGAAGCCTGAAAGAAATACTGGCTTATTGGGTAATAGAAGCGGGCAAGTAAGGGAAGCTTTCAAGATGTTGTGTATGCTTTTTTAATGTCTGAATTGGAAAATTTTATATGGGATTTGGTACAACTCAGAACCTGGGATGGTGCCCAAAACCAATATACTTACTGAGGGAGAAATGAGAGTGTTTTGGGAGCTCAGAGGTACAGGAATGCCATTATATCAGCTTTTACTGGCAGAGAGCATTTCTTTGGAAATGGCAAGTAATAAATAGAAAAGCCCCAGATGCATTAAGATCAAGGATATTCTTTAAGTACATGCAGTTGCTAAAAAACTTGTTTTTATAATTCATCTGACATTATAATGGCTGTGTGCTTGATTCCCAACCTTGCTTTTTCACACACTCTAAAGCTATGAATATTACATTCAGGGGCACTCAGCTGAAACAGCCAGAACTGTGCCCATCAAATAAAGGCAACTTAACTGCATTCTGAACAACACACTTCTTTGCTGTAACTGTTTCAGGGCTGGCTGCATGACACAGCTTATCTTTGTGGGTTTCTCTGAACTTTGGCTTTCTGATAATGGAAGAAAATGAAGTCTCGAGGCTTCTACCTTCCTTTGTTTTCAGCAGCAATTTGTTTCTGCCTTTGGTTGTGTCTGACAACTAGTATTCTTACTTCTTGAATTTCTGGAGTTTCTACATGGCTTGGGATAGAATTACTGTTTTTCCTTTTTCCGAATGGTCATGAAGCAGGGAAAGTTCTTTCCCACCACAAGGCAATGGAAACAGCTGATGATGTAAAACAGGAGTAAGTAAAACACTACACAATTCAAAATAACACTGATAATTCTCGAATTTCCCTACCAGCAGTGAATTGGTGAAAAACACATTTATGGCTCACTGGAATACATGTAGGAAGCTCCATGTTTTCACTGTGGGTTTATCCTCGAAACATGTTCATTCTTTCCCTGCTGCTTAAAAAAACCCAACTGTCTTCAAATTCCTTGCTCAAGAACAGTTTGGATAGGATCTACTCATCCTCTGCTTTTCCCTTTCCTCAGGTCCTCTGATTTTTCTGAGGCTAAACTTTATTTCTGAAACTTTATTTCATTATCTCATCATAATAAGTAAAGTTGACTGGTGAGGGCATAAGCTGGAATTTTTGGGAACATCCACAGTGCTCTAAACAAGAAGTTTTGTGACTCAGCAGTGACTCAGTCATACCCACACTGTGCTGGGTATAATTTAATAGGTGTGGCCTTCTTGGAAAGATGACCAAAATCTGTCTGTTTTGCTTGGATACAAGTTGTTGTTTTCACATTAGATAAAGAAGGATGTTTGCTTCCCTTTGGGCAAAAATATCTTCCTATCCTTGAATGTTAAACATTCAAAGGAATATAAAAGAGTCATTCATTCTGCTATCAAATTAGGTGGGCAGGAGGAAAACGTTTTGGAGGAATACGACTGTATTGAATATATCTTATTCAACTTCTGAATCCCTTTAAGGTTTAGATGATCTTTCTGAATGACAGTATTTTACAGGCGTAATTAGGTATTGTTATCTCCATTTGATAACGGAACAAACAACATGCAGAACAGTGTGCTGACTTTCCCAAAGTCAGATGAAATTGGCGTCAGAACCAGGAACAAAACTCAAGGCTGTAGGCTGCTGACTACACTATAACACTGGGCTGTGCAGCAACTCGGGCATGAAAAAAATACCCAAGACAATGGTAGAGAGAAACTGAACTAAAAAGACTAGAGAGAATTTGAAAATGTAAAAGACTTGACTGATACAGAACTGTAATGCTTTTTGAGGAAATGAAGTCCAAACAACCGTGAAACCATCATTTGAGGTGGAAGTTTGGCACTAAGTAATGGGATTATACATAATGTTTTATGGCGTACGTGAAATTAGGAATGTATTTCAACTACACAGTGCAAACATAATGATTTTATTTCTATTATATGTACATTTTAATCCAGAATCTTCCATAATGGCAATAACAGCTAATCAGGTGAGATTCGAGCAGCCCAAGATCTTCTCATTTCAGAACCTGAGAAATTTCAGCATTTTAGATCTACTGCAGTGCTCAGAGATCCCTGTTCTTATCATTGCCCTGTGCTGCACTGTCAGTTTACAGATGCATGCTAGGATGAATCTGTAGAAAAATTTGAGCTATTTTTTAAAAATTGTTATTTATTTTTAATTTGATGTCATGTGAGAATCTTGTTTCTGTCTCTGATTAGATGGAAATATTATTGGTGGTCATGGGAAAGGCACTGGAAATCTTGGAATTAAGTCAGGACATGGGATTTGTTACTGCTTCCCAAGACAGAACTGTTATTGTGAGAAAGATGATATCAAGGGTAAGTCGTCCTCTGCTCTTGCCCATATTATTTTTTCCCTCTTTTTTTTTTTTTATCTCCCATCTGTATACATGCAACAGTCTAAACTTCTGGACTTGTTAATAAGCATTAGTATATCTGGTTCTTCATAGTATCCTATTCAGCAATATCTTTATTCAGAAACTGGTAATATGAAATCCATTCAGAACAGGCACCTTGACTTCTGCATGGAGACCGAAAACCTGCAGAGGGGTGAGGTTACTTCAGACCTTCGCTCAAGATTCTTTTTTTTATCCATAAAGAACAGCTTGGCCGTCCTTTGCTCTCCTGCAGTATTTGCATTTCAGTAAGACTCACCTGATATTTGCAAAGACACCTAGGAGAATTAGAATAATGACTTCTATTACTTTCAAGTAATTCCAGCCTCCTAATCACTTCTGACAATCTCAGCTTCAAAATGTCAGATAGCCAACACCCATTGTGTGAGGAGAAGGAGTGGATTACTTGAACATCATCCTTTGTTTAAATGTAAAAGCTCTTTACGTTTCCTCAAAACAGATTAATGAGGATTAAATAGTGTTATTTTAAATTTGTTTTATTATTGCAAATTGTTTTATGTTTCTTATTAGCATTTATGTAACTAAACTGGTAAGATATAATAAATAATTTTTCTATAGGCATTAAAATAAAACAGGAAGCCTTGGGGCCTTATCTTCACCTTTATTCCCCTCCCAGTTGCAGAAAATGATTTGCCTGTTCCCATTTGTTTTGGAGGTCCAGCTTCCAGACACCATTACTAAGTTATCTGTGTATCTGAGGTCAGTCTCCTGGTGAAAAGCAATGTAAGGACAGTGTGCTGCATCTCTCAGTTCCTGCATGAAACAACTCCCTAGGAGTGATGTTTAGGGGCACTTAGGCTTAAAAATATCCTACCTGCAAAGAAAGACAAAAATGCTTCTGGAAAAGATCAGGTAGTACACGTGGAGGAAATAATGCATATTACATATAAACTTGCAGCATAAGAGTATTTCCACAAAAAGTATTTTGTTAAATACAAAGCAGAAATATTGTCTCCTTCTTTAGAGTCTGAAAAGATGAAGATAAGTATTTTCTTATGTCCAACAAATGACGTAATAATGAATTAAAATTCACATTTGAAGATGGTCTTATTTTGCTGAATAGTTCTAACATAAGCTCTTGTCCACAAGCAAAATCCAGTCATGTGTCTACAGGCATCTGAGTAGTGTCAGAAGATCAGTGTATGGCAGGCTGGGTCTTAAAGAAGAGTCTTAACAGTAGCTGCATCTACAAAGCAAGGAATATGGAATCAAGCTAGCTATCCTGACATTTTACACAAGCAGTTAAGCATTCAATTCCCTACTGGTATCCAAAGTAATAATAATAAAAAAATATATAGCTGCAATGGGTATATTTTCAAACTTTTTGAGGAAAACCTGTCAGATTTTCCTTCAACTTTTTAAATGACTTTGAGTTCTTTTTCCGTTGTACCTGTGTGTGCTGCTTCATCTGCCAAATCAAAACTTGGAAACAGCAAGCGAACTTCTAATACATTGTTCTTGGTCCACAGAGCAATTTTGTGATGAAGTGTGCAAGACTGTGATAGCGGGAGCAGTGCTGTTGTCCTTCATCATCTCGGTGCTGCTTTCTTCCTATTTCATCCATCGCTACCACAAGAATTCTCCAAAACCACCTATTGCCTCTGCAGAAATGACATTCCGGCGCCCAGCCCAATCGTATCCCATCAGTTATTCTTCTACTAACGTCCGTCGGCCTTCTTTAGACTCCATGGAGAACCAGGTGTCTGTAGACACCTTTAAGATACCGGTAAGCCAGATTTCATTTTACACACATATCTGCCTTGTCCACAAAGAACGGTGCTTAGATGTGCACAAATGGAAATGCATTCTGCTAAGAGAAACATCGAACTTAGCTAACTGAAACAGAAGTGATGAGCACGTGGATGGAACTGAGGACAGTAATTGAATACACCATATAATTTACTGCGCAAGGAAAGTATGGTCTTCTGTTTTTTATATGCTTTAATACAACATCATTAGTTACAATTTGAGCCACTTTTTAAAATGAACGTAATTTGACGTTGTTAAAGTAATATAATTGTTTAAATTGTTACATTTAATGTAACATGGTTAAAATAATAATCTCAATGTAAGCTAGTAATCAGTGGGTTTATAATCTGTGTGATGAGCCATAGTGTCACAGCAAGGATGAGATTAGGGAGAAAAAAGGTTGAGATCTGGTTTTGATTATCTTATATATACCTATATTCTGTAGGAATCAGTTGGCATGGGAATCTTACCCACACTTTAAGAATCTTTGTCCAGTCAAACAGTCACATCTTTATTTCATTATCTTTTCTCTGGCTTCTTCTGTGTTGGTAAATCACTTTCAGCTGGTGCATTTTCATGTACTAATGCAGTAGAGAAACACTGCCATATTAATATGCTGTGTGACAACATCAGATCTGTTTGGAGGTTTATGCTGAGGTCTTCACAGCCTTTGTACTCTGTTTACTGTCTAATCTGGTGTGCACATCTGTCACCATTTTGCAAATGTAGAGCTCAGTAATACTCATTTCCTAAGAGGAGGACTGTTGTGTCTAACCAACTTTATTCTGCCTTATTCTGCAAGTAAAATTGATTAACTTCTCTCTGAAGTCTAAGATCACTTATTCATAGTTATTCTGAAAGCAAACATTTACTCTTCATCACTTGGTTTCATTTGTAACCACTTTCCAAGCCTTTTAAATATAATCTATTATCCACAGGGATGTCATTTCAAGATAATGGTAAAACATTTGCAAAATGCTTAGAGGTTCAGAAATTTTCAGAGCAGTGCACTCATTAATAACAAAGACCAACCAAAAGTGTACACCAAAGCACACCTACTCCTGAAGAAACATTTCCTGTTGAACATTCTGGTGTCCCTAGACATTCCTGTTTTGATCCATTCTTACAGGGTTCCCTTTCTTTCCTGCAGGAAGATCCAAAGTGGGAATTCCCTCGGAAGAACCTGGTTCTAGGCAAGACTCTTGGAGAAGGAGAATTCGGAAAGGTTGTCAAGGCAACAGCTTTCAGGCTCAAGGGAAGAGCTGGCTATACTACTGTGGCAGTGAAAATGCTAAAAGGTACCTTCCCCCCTGCTTCTGAAATTATTGGAAAACTGCTGCAACTCCTGCATTGATTTTAAAATGGGCTAGTATGAAAGTAAAAGGTCAGCTACGAACAACTGGTGCCACAGCCTCCATTTCTTCCAGAAGATGTTTATTCTGACAAATTTCTGAATTCAGGGGACCTAGCATCACACTGATCCAAAGAAGTGATATCCACAATCAGTTTTAATTCATGATGTTCAATGGCTCTCTGTCTTAACGGAGCAAATGTGTTTAATTTTGTTACGCATGACTAGAAATATAGCAAAGGTTTGCTAATGCTTTCTGACTTTCTTTTTCCTCTATATAGTTTTCTTCAGCAGAGTTTTTAAAATAAATCACGTTATAATCCTGGCAAGAGAAATAACAGGCCTATTAAGTTACTTACTTTTCTCATTGAGAATTCTGTCTACTTTCTGATCTACTTTTCAACTACTAGGTGAATCTCCATACCCAGACTTAATAGCCTCGTGCTTTCTTCTGGTGTCTTCATAAAACTTTAAAGCTTGGAAAAAATGTATGCCTAGGTTTATGCTGAGATAACAGTGTGAGACATTGAGCTCTTGTCTCTGTCTCTTTGTAGTAGTTTTCAGCCCCACATATACCTATTCCTTTCCCATATAAAAAAAATTATGTTGAAAGAAAAACATTAAGAATATATTTTGTTTGTTTGGTCTCTGAAGTGGGAAGTCTCCAGTATTACTGTGCTTTGCAGGTAGAAGCTGAATCCATGGCATGTAAACCACAGCTTTTGCTACCCCTGGGCCTGTTTTCTAATGCCAGCATTGCTAGATAAGAAATGATGATGAAGGAGGTCAGTGGAAATGCTTAAACTTGTTCCCTTGTCGTTTATTCATCAGAGACAAAGGGCTGAAATGGATACTAAAGCTGTGTCCTTTTCTGTGGTTTGGTGTACTAAAAATATAAATGCATATAGTCCATATACAACAGGCACTTAGGAATATGGGACAAAGATGGAAAATAAGAACCTTCAGAAAGGCTTATGGATACAAGACAATGCCTTTAGCTGGGCAGCTAGCTCAAGCTGAATGTACATACAAGTCTTTTTTAAAAAATCCATCTTCTGCTGCTTGAGAGCAAAGATGCTGCATATTCCATCATTTTACCACAGGAGTGCATTGTGAAGCACCTTCCTACATTCCAAGGAGATAGATCGTATGTATAAAATATAGATCTAAGTCTTTTCAGAATAGAAGACCAGTCGAGCAGTTCCTGCAGTGTTCAGGTAACAACCTGTGTATTGTTCTAAGTGGGTTTTTCTTAGGCATTATGTCATTTCATATTCACTTGTGCACTGAGTATCACTGATTTCCCAGCGCATTGTCATCAGCAACGTGGGACTGAGTTAAGATTCCAAGACACAGTGGTAAAAACATTCCTTTTACTTGCAGATGATTTAACATTCAGCTTTCCCCAGCTATTAAGTGCAGAACTGACAGTAGGAAGGAGTAGCCCTTTATTTTAAGCACCTTATTTAAATAAACTGATCTGACATTTACAGTAACGCTTCAGGCTCTAATGAATCCCTTTGTAATGTAAATTACTTTGCACATAGTCGCTTGAAATTTCGTTTTCCTGCTTTATTGCAGAGAACATTTGGCATTGCTGGAAATATTTATCTTTTATTGTTTTAACTTTAGTCAAGCATAAGGAAGATTGCATTAGTCCCAGGCACTCTACAAAATGCTGCCAGGAATAAAGGATGGTTATTTTGGATCAGGCCAACATCATCCATCCTTTCCCTGTTATATACAACAGAACTAGCTTCATCCTCATATGCAGAGGGTTATTCAGCCTAGCATTAGGGACTCCGTGTTGTTTGATCTTTTATCAGTAAGTCAGTAGAGAAGACCTCCTGCTTATTGCATAAAATATGTCTCCTTCCTGATCTGTGTGGTTAGGGTAGGACTTTTCCAACTTTGTGAACTTTGTGCAATGCTCTGGGCAGGGAAAGGGGAACTGTAAGGAATTAGTTGAGATTTGGACCTATGGATGGAGGCTAAAAGGAACAGAGCAAGATTTCTTTCAGGCCATTTCTACCACTTGGTGCATATGAATCCTGTATGATATGAAAGTCCTCATCAAGATAAAATTCAAGTGGATGATGCCAATCAACAAGCAAATAGATATCATTTACTATTTGCTAAAAACACGTGGCACAGAGCTTCAGAGCTAATTATCTCCATTTGTGCACTCTAGAAGGTTGTTTTTTAGAAGACAGGCAAACAAGGGCCCCAGAGAAATTTGGTCTTTACTTGCACGTTACACAAGACTAGACAAACCTAATATTTTCAGAGACATTGAGTTCATATTATTCAGTTTTGGTTTAGATAAATGAGTACTTTTTGTACTCGTTATCAGTAGTGAGCAACTATCAAATACTAACACTCCCTGACTAAGGTGCTTTGAAGTAAGAGAGTGGAGGGTCTCTCTAAGTCCCTGGAGACATTCAGGGTCAGGCTGGACAGTACTCTAACAACCTGATGTAGCTGTAGGTAACCCTGTTCATTGCAGGGGAGTTGGACTAGATGACCTTGAATGGTCCATTCCAACTCAGACAGTTCTGTGATATGATTGTATCTATCTATCTATCTATAATTGTATGCAGACAGTATAGAGAGAGAATGTTGTATAGACAATATATAGCAGACGGATGCTGATATACAGATATACAGAAGAACAGAAGAAAAATTGGGAGAACTATTAGCACTTTCAATGGATATGTAAGTGGGTCCTTTGGTACTTAATGACTCTATGGTAAAAAATACACTTTGGTAACAAAGATCATAAACTGACTTTGGTTTTTATTAACATTAAGTAAGTGTGAGTATGTGACTGTAAGCTGCCCAATAATGACACTCTGTAAGAGTGATACAGGGAGATTCAGTGTGACAACGACATTAAAGATGAAGCAGACAAAGGGAAATCACTGACCTGTGGTGTCTTTTTGAATAATATTTCCTTCAAAACTCAGTGTTCGAAGATTGTACGAAGAATTCTGCAAAAATAAAATGCTTGAAAGGCTAAGAAAACATGCATGTTGTCACACTACTGCCATTGACATCAGCAAAGTCTGCATACGTGATTCCCTCTAAAATCAATCTGAGCCATTCATTTAGCTTCTGAACTCCAAAATCTGGATATATGCTGTAACTGTAAGCCAGTGGGTAGGTAGAGTTTTATTCCATCAGAAAATCTGTCTAGAAAGATAAGGGTTGTATATTGTAGTGAAATAAGTGAGCAAGTCTTCTGTTCAGTCAGCACAAAATTTTGGCTTTCGTATTCTTCTGAATCTTCATTTGCTTTGATTCACTCTAGAAATTTGCTTTGGTTTGTAATAACTTCGTTGCATCTGCAAGATGTTAAAGACGCTGGTCCTGATTGTGGGATGACCTTCTCTTGATGTAGTCATTTGTATTGGATGGGAGTGGTGATGACTGCATGTCACCCAGCACAGCAGTGTCCTATTCACCTGGTTCTGATATGAACAACTGCAGGACAATGAATTTTCTAAATTCTTAGTAATTCTAGGAGAAATGGCTGGAAAAAAAACCTGATGCTCATGCTTCAGGTGGTATGTAGGGAACTTATGGATAATGCTTTCCTAAACACAGCTATGCTTTTGGACATCTTTTGCAGAAAATGCTTCCCAGAGCGAGCTGCGAGATCTGCTTTCAGAGTTCAACCTTTTGAAACAGGTGAACCATCCTCATGTCATCAAACTTTACGGAGCCTGCAGTCAAGATGGTAAATATTAGAGGCTCATTATTTGGATGAAAACTTCAGTATTCATTTTGAATCTGAAGCTATCTTGAAGTCAACAATTGTACTACCAGTTGTCCTCCTAACAATCTGTATTTTTCTATTACATTGATGCTCAGTACAGCTTTTCAAAAATGGATTATTTCTTAAAGTCTAATGCAGCTTTCATTATAACTATTTTATTATAACTACTTCGATGCCTGAGTTCAGAGAGTGACATCTCCTTTTATTAACTACAGATCCCTCTGTTAAAATATAGCTTGATGGTTAGACTGACATCTGAGTTTTCCTGTTGTTTGACAAAACTCTTGTATCCCTCTTAAGGTAGATGTGTTAAAAAGCCACAGTCATTGCAAAGTATATTTTAAGAGGGAGGAAAATTTCAGATCTATTTATTATAACTTCCAATTTTCATTGCTGTGCATAAGAATTGATCTAAATAATTTCTGTTCACGTGAAATGAATTTGCACAGCAATATTCTCCTCATTTTGTGTCTCTAATTGTGGTCCTTCTCCCTTAAAGACTTTGTGATTTTTGCAGCCTAAAATTACAGTATGTATGTGGCAACTTCAGGCTGGGGACTGCCATTTTTGCCCAGCCAGTTCTGTTGCAGATGGCACTATTATTTAGAGACAGGGAATATAATTCAGAATTGAGTCTTCTCTGAGTCTTAGCAAGGTACTGAACCAGCAGGGCAGGATTTTTTTTTTCTTTCCAGTACAATGCATCTTTTCATCCCTAAGGAAGTGAACTGTTGCTGAGTCACAGGATTTTAAACAATATGAGGCTAATTCATTGGTGTACGGAGTGGGAGGGTTTTGATAGAGGAGGCAAATGTCTTTAGCATTAAAACTCAAAGTGGATATTATTCATGTGGGTAATAGGGAGGAGAAGCTAATGGATTGAAATGTCAGACTGTTTTTAAGCGCTCTGGAAGGGCTCCTTAAATACAACGTTGGAATTAGCTTTGTGAGCTCAGCATCATGCACTACAGAAAAGGATTTTGCTTGTTATTTATTTATCCATTTATTTTTATGAGTTTTTCTAAGTTAGGCTGTTTCGCAGATGTGATTTTTATGAAGGTTGTCTTTATTCAACCTCAAATTATCCAGATGAGGGAATAGGTTACTGCCCGAATGATGGCTCGATTTAAGCTGAAATCTGCTCATAGAGAATATAAGCCAGAAATATTTCACGGCTCATTCAGGGCTTTTTATGTTGAGCACAGAGGTGTCTGGATCCTCCGACTGTTAAAAACAATGAGTTGATTAGAAGAGGCCTTTCTGGAAAGGAAAAAAAAAAAAGACAAGTCTACCTTCTTAAGCACTGGAATAGGCTCCCCAGGGAGGTGGTTGAGTCACCATGGATGTGTTTAAAAACTGTTTGGATGTGGTGCTCAGGGATGTGATTTAGCAGAGGGTTGTTAGAGTTAG